AAACAAATAAAGGCTAAATATAAATTAATAAATAATGTTTAGCTTAATAGAATTTCAGCCAAATGGAATTTCACACAAATAAAAAATTTTAATTAATAAAAATGTTAAATGAAACTAGTGAAAATTCTACTGAATAACAGTTTGGCTAGATATTTTGGGGAAATAATAATGAATTAATGAAATTCTGCCAATAAATATTTGCTAAATAAATAATATCATCTAGAGTGAAATCCTGCTAAATAACAATTTGGCCAAATAAAAATTCTCCATAAATATAAATATGGCTAAAATGTGAAATTCTGATGAAAAAAAATCTGCTAAATAAAGTGTATAAAAATTTTTTCAAGAATAAAGTTCTTCTGAATAAGAATTTGGCTAAATAAAAATTCTCTCGAAGTGAAAATTTGGCAAAATAGTAAAATTCTACCAAAATGGTTCTGCTAAATAAATAACTAAGAAATTCTATCTATTTCTATTTTTAATTAACAAAAATTTGGCTAAATGGAAATTTTACAAAAGAGAAATTTTTCTGCTAAATAAATCCGTCGAATAAGAATTCAGTTTATCAGTAATTATACTCCGTAAATTCCGTTAAATAAAAAATTGCCCTAAAATTTGTGTTTAATACAAATTCTGGCTTAATAGAAATTGAATTTATTTACTATATTTTAAAAAATAAATTTTTTTTTAATACCTGATTGGAAAATTATAAAACCAATATCATGGGTAAATAATTTTCAAATGATCTATAAATATATAAAGTTAATATTAAACCTATTTCGCAGTTTATTTCCGGTGGAATTTTCAATAGAGAAGCATGCACGTATTCGAACACGTGTGTTGCGTAATTCAACATGTCAGTAACATGAAACTAATGGAGGGGAAAGTACAACAACACTTTTACTACTACCTATATATATATATACAACAAAAAATTAGTTCTCACGCAATATATACAATGCTTTTTGGAAAAATCAATAATAAAACCGTTCGCGTGTTCTGTGTGACAAAGTAATTTGCAAACGCATTAAAATTCCTTTGCACGCATAGTAGTATATAATGAAAAAAAAAATCAATAGACATAAAAAAAAAGTCTACACTTAAGGAAGTCACTTTTACTATACAAAGACACGCGACAATTCCCAGGGTTATTTTTCCTTTTTTCGCGCATTATTTCCTATATACTGCGAATGGCAGGTGGAATCAATATATATGAGAAAAAAAACTTCAAGGTAAACTTTCGCACAAGTTTCATAAATAAAAAAAGAGTCTCAAGAAACCTGATAAATTGACTTTTTACATGTAACACAACAAGTTTTTTTTCCTACAAAAATTTTATTAAAAAAAGAAAATTATTTAATTCAAATAATTGCTAAATATTTATCAAATAATAAATTATAATCGTATACATAAATGTACCAATAATTTTTGTATTTGAAACAATTAAAAATTTAATTGAAATAATAATTATTCAATTCAGGGAAATATTTATTTAATAGTTAAAATGAAAATAAATTTTTTTCCCAACCTAAAAATTTTATATATGAAAAAAATATTTCTAAAATAAATATTTTTTAATAATAGAACAAAAAAAATGAATTATTAGCAAATCATAATCTAGAGTGTTTATTTTTGAATGTGTCACAATCAGATATGAAGTATAGATATATATTAATTTAAACTCGCTGAGAGTCACGTACGTATACGTTTTGATTGACAAATCTCATTAGAAATTGGTACAATACGGTAACGGGAAGCTAACTAAATTTGACTGTGCGGCTTCTCCTTCTAGGGAGTGAGGAATTATCTCCGAGAGCGGACACATATTAATGCATTTACGAACGCAATTAGTTTTGTGGCAATTTCAAAACTGAAACAGTGAAAGCCCTCTACATTGCAAAAAGGATGCGTCACACACAGAGAGAGAAAACGAGCAAAGGGTAGACACAACGTGGATTATTAAAATGTCAAACAAAAAATAAAAAGGAAGGGAAACAATATAACGCATTGAGGATTAAATTTTCTTCTATGTTCATATTATAAATTTGTCAGTTGACTTTAAAAAACATTTTATAAACTGTTACATCAAAATCACTATTTTTTCTTTTTTTTCAATTAAAATTTTTTGGCTAAATATTTATAAAATTTTGATTGAAAATAATTATTATACAAGCTCAGCTTCGGATTTAGTCAAAGATTCAAGTTCTCGAGTTTCGTTGGGTTATATATACCAATAAATAAGGACTTTGGTAAACTTGAGCAAGACCATGATGATTATGAGGGATTGATTTGCAGCCTTATTGATTTGCTCGAAACTTGGTTGCTTTCAATAAATATTGGTTTTAGTGCGTTCACTCTGACCAGTTACTGGGTTTTCGAGCAAATGAATATATATATACACACATCGAACAGTTTCCATATATATATATAGCAATTCATTCAACCATGTCACTCGCACACTACAAATCGTGCGGACAGTTTCTAACTTTCAGCCGACAGATTGACATATACCTCGAATGGAAGCGAATTATTCCTCTATAAATGTATATACCTATACTAATACAATGTACGTATACTCTATACTGTGGAAAAAAAAATTTTTTTTTATGACTATTTTAGATTTACCATCGAAAAAAAGAAAGAAAATAAAACGTCAAAACTAATATTTTTCTTGTCGCAAATATAAATTTTGCAATTCAAATAGATATCAATAAATTTTTTTTGATAAAAAAATTTATAAAAACAAAAATTAAGTTTTATGGAAATAAAATAAATCACTACGACTTGTGCAGTGATTTATTAAATAATAGTATATTATGTGGCAAGCACGTAAAGTAGTACTTTTTAGGTGAGGATGTAATTTTCAGTACGAGCTGTCGTTAGTGCGACGTAGGTGAGACGAAGGCGAGCTGTAGGTGAGATGAAGACGAGCCGAAGGCGAGTCGAGTCGAGCCGAAAGCGAGCCGAGTCGAACCGAAGTCGCACAGACAGCGAGTATTGAAATCATCCGAACCTAAAAATTACTACGTGCGAGCCACATACGCTATTTTTTTCGCCATTGTTATGAAAAAGTGAAACAATTTTAAAGAAAAAAAATAATAAAAATTGATAAATAAAATAAAAGCAAAAAAAAAAATTATGCAAAAATTAACAACTGCCTAAAAAAGACTTTATAGGGCAGTTTACTGCCTAAAAAAGACTTTATACGGCAGTTTGCTGCCTAAAAAAGTCTTTTTTAGGCAGTTGGCCCAAACTCCCTTAAAAAGTGCTACTTTATCTGCCCAAAACAGGCACAAAAAAGACACTTTTTCATGTCAATGGCGAAAAAAAAAATTTCTTGTCCAATTTTTCATTACTTCAATTTTGATTTTGCACTTTTTTAAGTAACAGGATTTTTTTTTAATCACACTAATTTAAAAGTATCAAATTGTTACCAAAAATATCAAATTGATATAAAAATTTGTATCAATTTGATATTTTTGGTATCAATTTAATACTTTTAAATTTGTGTGATAATAATAATAATAGTATTTCGATTCCTTATCTATCTTTAAAAATTGATTTAAAAAAAAAAATTCCATGGATGATTTCAATGTAAACTGTATACAATTTTCTAAGCAAACTTTTTCAATTTCGATTCCGCACTTTTTTAATTAAAAGTCAGTTCTATATTTTTTTTTTCAATAAATTTCGTTTTGTAATCTATCTCTATAAAAATTTATTGAAGAAAAAAATTTGATCAAAGGTTTTAAAAATAACCAAAATATTCAATTTAGCAAATAAAATTTTTTCCATAAGGCAGTTCTATATTTTTTTTAATAATTATACTTTTGCCGTATGATTGAATAAATAATTTCTAATAATAATAATAATAATATTTCGATTCCTTATCTACCTCTAAAAATTGACAATGAAAAAATTTGATAGAAAGTTTAAAAATATAACCGAAATATTCAATTCGCGAAACAAACTTTTTTCAATTAAAAATCAGTTCTATATTTTTTTTAATAATTATACTTTTGCCGTATGATTGAATAAATAATTCCTAATAATAATAATAATAATAATAATTTCTAATAATAATATTTTGATTCCTTATCTATTTCTAAAAAATGCTATAAAAATTTCAACGGAGAGTTTAAAAATAACCGGTATCTAATTTTCTAAACAACCTTTTTTTTAATTTTTTCTTTTTTAAACCAATTTTGTGGAAAAATAATCAAACAAAATATGTTATATTTATTTTTATCTCTTTGATAAATCATGAATGAATAATTACCACTGAAGTGAAATTTCGAATATTATTATGGTTTTTGGATCAAAGCAAAATTTTGAAAACCGGAAATTCCAAAATTGTTATTTTTGAATATGTATGTATGTATATATTGGATTTACGCGGTTTGCGAAGAAGTTTCACATGCATGGCATGTATGCGCGTACCATCTTGACACGCGAAACTTTAATTGGCGGATGATGAGAGAGAGAGAGAGAGAGGAGCTTGGTAACGTTAATAATTTCGCCTATCTACTCGTCAGTGCACATTAGTGTGTGCATCAGGGGATGTCGGATGTCCGGACATCACGTAGACGTGCGTCGGACGTCACGTCGACGTGGTTTACCCATGGTGCGTGTTTCAGGGACGTTCTATTACACGTTTAGGAGGTATCGCGAAATTTCACGCCGGAGGCGCTCATCTCTCTCTCTCTCTCTCTCTCTCTCTTCTCTCTCTTGATTAAACGATAAAGTTAAAGCACATTCTAAATTTATATAAACAGAGCCAGAGCCTCGATTTTGCTTTCGTTTCAAATATAAATAAATATACAATTTCAAGATAAAAAAACCCTTTTCAATGAAACTAATAAGAATCAGACCTTTGAAAACCAAAAAAAATATGAATTCATGTACAAAAATTTTTTTTTGAAAAAAAATCATGAATTTGTATATTATTATTGTATAATGAATAAATTTTTAAAACAAAAGAAAATATTGTTGTAACTCACCAATAACAAAGGGTGGCCAAGAGAGTCGCGGCATAAGAAATTCTGAAACAGAAAAGTAGAAAGTTTTATGAAAAACCTACTGGCAGAACCCCAAGAATAGTTAATCTCCCATGAAGGAAACATTCGTTTCAACCCCTCGAGTTGAAACTCGACGCAACCCTCCCTTTACCACCCGCAAAAACCCTCGTCTCTTTTCCGAGTAATATATAGTTTCAAAATTCTGAGATCTCGACTCATGTCATTTCCTATTGGCCAATGTTTTGCCTTTCCAAATAATACAATATTGATGCGAAAATGTGATAAAGATCCTCCAACACGTGTGTTATAAAGTAAACAGAAAAAAAAATTTTCCAACGACCTTTTTTTAACTATAATAAAATTTATTATTATTTTAATATATTTTTGAATTTAAATTACATAATAAAAATTATTTTAAACTATAAATATTTATTAATTTTAATTTGAGAATTTTTTTTTTTTCTGACTTGAATATAAATACATAGAAATATTATGCGTTAATGTATATTATATATTAAAAAAATCATAAAATTCCAAACAAACTTTTAAAGTCCTGATGCAAAAAGCCAAGGAAAACTTTATATAACGGAAGCTGTTAGGAATGAAAACTAAAAGAGAAAGTACTACAAGACTCGGCAATTACAGAGATCAAATTTGCATAAAAATGAAAAAGTTCCTTTTTTTCAAGCTCAGTGCGCCACTCGTGATTCGCTATTCTAAAAGCGACGATCGAAGCCCGCGCACGGTGGCATATTTGAATATGAAGCGTCCACAAATTTTCAACGAGACAAGCCATTTTCCTTTGAACTTTTCGCTTTATTCATTTATTTATTTTTTTTTTCAAAAAGCCACGCACGCATGTCTAAATGGGTCTATACACTGTATGTCGATTACATATTTTTTCAATAATAGTAATAAAATTTTCCCTCCTCGAAAAAAACAGAATTTTTTAATAATTTGCGAAAAAAAAAATATTATTTTAAAGAAAATTAAAAAAATTTGATTTTATTCCTTTTCAATTTTCTATAAAAAATTTCGAAAGGGTTACAAATATTATTTTAATTCACATCTATTTGTTTCCCCCCCCCCAATATTTTGTAAATTATATTTTCCAAATATTTTGTAAATTATTTTCTAAATATTTTGCAAATTATTTTCCAAATATTTTGCAAATTATTTCCAAATATTTTGCAAAATAATTTTCCAAAGATTTTGTATCAATTAAATAACTAATAATTCTGTAATATACCAATGATTGTTTAAATATTGTTTTCCAATAAGCGATGCATCAATTGCATTCTGAATATGATATATATTGATAAATTACTTTTCCGAAGTATTTTGTAAATTGTTTTCCAATCATTTAAAAATATACCGTTTATTAAAATTTTACAATAAAATAAAATTTATTAATATTGTGTTTTATTAAATGAAAATATTTCAAATGTGCTTTCATTATCTACCTTAGTAGAATTTCAACTATTTAAAACAAACTTTTATTTAATTAAATATAACTATTTTGGTTTATCTAAAAAAAAAATTTGTCGAATTCATTTTTGTTTAATATAAATTTAATTTAATTTTAAATCAAGTCTCCCTTCTTTGAGTTATAAATATTCCACATTTAGAATATTATTTTTAGACAAGTTATTTGCACACAAATGTTGACAATGAAAATAGAAGTTGAGTGAAATTTTTTATTAAAAATGCATTTCAGTTTATATAGGAGTAGTGTGATGTCGACCATATAAAGTAAATATTGAAATAATTGTCAACACTTGGATTTTATTTTCAATGTAAATGATGTGAGTCAGTGAGGCACGTGTCACGTGCACAGATGTGGATGCAAAATTCATCTCGAAGTGGCACTCATGTATATGGCATTTTGCCAAAAACTGTTTTTTTTTTTTTTTATTTTTATTTTCAGGCACAAAATTATGACAGTGATTTCATCTGGCAACATATATAGAAACATTCATTCAGAATTTTGATGATACATTACACTGCTTCTATTATTGAATAGAAAGAAAAAAAATTAAAAACATTTTTAAAATTGTTTCTTAAAAATAGAAATATTTCAATTTTTTATGAGGAAACTTGATTGTCTGACTGTAGTTAACTGAATCTACTTAGAAAGTAAAAAAAAAAGAATTTATTTTTAATCGGAGAATTTTTCTGACTATAAGTAACTTTTTTTAATTTCAATTACTTTTTTTACAAACAGTATTGTCTGACTGTAATCGACTTATTCTACTGATAGTTTTTAAAATACTCCTTTGTCTGGCTATTCGTTACTTTCTCTACTCAAATTTTCCTCATAAAATACAATTTTTCAGCTGAAAAACAAATTATCTGACTGTTTTTGTCTTTATCTCCTTTGAAAATAGTTTTTTCTTATACAGAATAATATTTTAATTAGAATAAAAAAATTATTTAATTAAACTCATCTTGATATGAGAAGAAGAATAACCCTTTCTTAGAAAAATATTCTTATTTTTATTTTTAAATTATTCTGAGAATATATAAAAAAATGATATGCAAATATTTGTCCACGGAAAATTGAAATAAATTCGCCTCTTTGAAAATATATATATAAAAATATATTATATAAAATAAATAAAATTTAGAAAAGATATAAAATATTATATATATATATGAAAATATAAAAATAAAAAATAAAGCAATTTCTTCATGAGTGAAGATGAAGGAATGAAACAATTTGAAATTGATGGCAACCTTTCAAACAAAACCTTTCAACGAACCTATAACTTTATCTCTTGCAACTTGTCACCTGTCCAAGCTCAGCGCTAACTTTTTTTTTACTCCCCCCTTACAATACAGTTGGAGAACGAAATATCGATTTATACGGTTCGCTGCTCCTAAACGAATTTACAAGATCCGCTTTTTCAATCTGCACTTCAATGGAAACTGGGATATCGGCTACTTAGCTCACAAATGTTCCTCACAATAAACAATTTACAGGACGCCAACTTTTTTTTTTTTATATTAAATTTAGAAAACATATGTCTTCAAAGAAAGCAATATTTAGGTCAATATTTAGGAAATATTGTTGCAATATTTAGGAAACATTGCCTGGCAATATTTTGTTCATACGTTGACAAATTTGGTGATAAAAAAAATTTCTCCATAAATTTTTCAGATAAAAATTATTTAATACACAAAATATAGACAGAAGATTCTAAATATTTCATAGAGGTAAAATTCAAGACGAATCGATGTGAATTTTTCCTGAAGTTTTTCCGATATTATGTAGTATATATATATATATTTATAAGATTTGGAAAAATACGCGATGGCTAAATCCAAGGGATACAATATATATATATATTGAATTGCAGGATCTCTTCGAGGAAGATAGTTGTATATGTATAAAGTTCCAAGTTGGAAGTGCAGTTTCGGACTATGGACGTCCAACAAGGGGTAAAAGGCTCCATTTAATCCGGTGCGATCGAACGGTCGTCTCTCATGGTAATCCCGAATAAAATCCCAAAGTGATTGCCGCCCCCTCTCTTTCCACATTGGGTGGTCAAAGGAAGACCTGGCGAGCACCGCCAACACGCGAAATTACACTTTCCTTTTGCCGCTATATATTTCGAAAATTTTTTCTTTTTTTTAATTTAAACCCTTTCAATTTTTGATTTTTAAAAGTGTATATATAAAAAAAAAGTTTCTTTGAAAATGAAATTAAATAAAATTTTTTCTACTGCTTTTTAAATTTCGTTTTTAAATTAATTTTTAAATATATAATAGTAAATAGCAAGTGTATTTTTATCAGAGAAATAGTAATACAAAGTAGATATAATAATTATTACCTTTTTCAGAAGTTAAAGAGAACACGCTAGGAATTATTAATGAACTATGTCAAATGTATGTATTTATTAATAGCCATAAGATTACGTAAATCTATAGTCTTTCTATAAGCCAAGTGACGTATATAAAGAAAGTCGGTCAGTATAGACCTATCAATGAAATATTCTAAGGTTGGAAAAACATTTTCGATAAAAAGACGGATGTCTATGACAATAGTACGATAAGAAAATGATTCTTTCATAAAATAAATTCAATCCTATCTTGACTATTATAAAGACCTTGCTTTTTCTATTTTCAAACATCGCAGATTGTGAATCCTATAAATCTACTTTACATACATATATTTATACGCATCTATCATTGTCAAGATTATCAGACAATTCCTGTCAAATATGTATCACAAGATCTCTTTATATACATTTTTCTATTGTAAAAAATGAAATATTTTTTATTCTCGAAAATATACTTTTTGTTCGAAGTAAAAAAAAAATCAGATTCAGTAATTATGTGATTTGAATTGAATCATTTGGTTAGAGAAAAAAAGTACGTGACGTGTGACAATTATTTTTTTACTTTTTGTACTCTTTTCTTTTAGTGCAATCAGTAATAAAACCTAAGTCAATTTTTATCTCGACTCACGTACATTCAGGAAATGGATTTCCCAGGGATGCCGAACCCCATCCGAAAAGCTACTAAAGAGAATTGGCAGAGTTTCAACCACATACAAAAAAAAAGGAGGAAAAAAAAACCTCTGCAAAGAGAGAGAGAGGGGGGGGGCACATAAAAAAAGCCTGGATTAAGAGTCCGAAAATCGTTGATTTATATCCACGTACATTATAAATTATACTTTTGACTTTTCTCGCAACCTCAAGAGAAAAAAAAAGAGGAGAAAAACTTCGTATCGCTGACTCAACAGTAAGTGGAATAACAAAATTCAGCAATTCACCAATAACTAACAATTTAAAAAAATATATTTTTTAGGAAAATAGAATTAAGAATTTCGTATTTTAAATAATTAATTAAGAATTTGATATTTTAAAAATCTGAAAAATAGAATTTTTTTTTCCAAAAGAAAAATGGAGAATTTGCTTTATCAATTGCACAGGGTCTCACAGACCATGTTTGCACAGTTATGTTCGAAAATACAGATCTGAATTCCAAGAAGTAAAAAAATTTCACTAATCTATCGATTT